AAATGAATCGGATTAATGTGAATTTCATTTAATAATAATCAGTATTGATATAAATATTTAACCAAGAGTAATTAATCTCAAGTGTGTAGTTGTTATTTTTGCATTAATTCAGTAGCCAGATTAAATTCATTTTCTATTTCTATTTGTTCTACTAGTCCTTGTAGACTGATTTTTTATCAGACAAGTTCGCTTCTGTGCTGGTTTAACATTGGATTAATTGCTTCGTAGTTATGGACTAGTGCTTTCATTTCTGTCTCGATTCTTTCAATTTTATCCTTGTTTAAATTCGATAAATTCTGTATTGAACGGCCAGAACCCAAGTCAAAAGTATTTAACTTGATTTTCGATTTTTTTCCAAGACCAGCCACTTGATATCTCCCATTAAATTTCGTTCTGCTTTTGTTTCGTTCTCTCTGGAACGTTCTTCAGTTTCGCCTCCACCTCTAGCAATATAGTTTCAGTACCGTAAAAGCAACTCTTCGCAGAGATGCGACATTATTACGTTCGATCGGCACTTCCACTTATGTCATATTTCAGAGATTTATGTCATTATTCAATACAGTTCCGTTCAATTTTTTTTCCTATTTTTGTAATTCTTTCCAATTAAATAATGTTTCGGTTTATTAATTTTACAGGGAAGGCTTTCGCTTCCTTTCTTGTACTAATTAGTTTTCAATGTTAATTAAATTTACAAAAATTCCAACTTTGAGTTGTTTTGTTGAATCTAATTATGAGTGTAGTGAGAACCGAATCGTTGTCGACTCATTTCTTCTTTACTAATTAATTTAGTATTCATATAATTTATATCCTCGCTCTCTGAAATTGCATGATATCATTTCATTTATTAGCATTATTTAGTATTTCCTTATCGACATGACTTATTGGTATTTTACATTAATTCAATTTTATTTTTTCATTTTTGTTACGATAGTGAGCAAATATTTGTCCTCAGTTTTGAAAGGAAGTTATTACTATGCTTTATTTCTTTTCCACTTGTTGAGCTATTAAAAGACAAAATTATATAAGGAAAACTGCAATTTCCAAAATTGTTTGAGGCTTTCTTCAAAGAACCTCTTTATCACACTCTTTTTCAGAAAATCATTTAATGATTTACCAGTTCAAACTTATCATTTTTGTTTGAAAAATATTTTTTTGTGTTAGCTTATCTTACACAAATGCAAGTTAGTTTCACTGCTGATTGCCGTCAGTTAATGAACAAATGATGATGAATGACCTGTGAACTGTCGAACTGATCGAATTCCTCTCTTTCGGTTTATTTAAAAGCAGCATCATCGATTGTCCCTGTTCATTCGGATTTGTTGATGATGTAAGAAAAGAAGTTCGTTCCTCGACTTCAAAAAGCTTTTTAATTTGACAAAGTGCTTAGTCATGCAGTAATCAGAACAGTTATTTTCGAGGATAGTTGATCTAGAAAATAATTGATCTCGAAATGATCAATGATCAAATGAAGTTCATTTCGAAATGAGTTCGAAATGAACTTCATTCTTACTGTAATCTCCACTTTCTTGTTCTTCAGTCCCTTGAATTTCTCTTTCCTGATATAATATCTTTACATAAATCATTGCGAATTATAGATATCATCAATCTCAAATAGTTGAATTCCGATTTTTGGTTACTAAAAAATTAAACTTTTTTGATTCTTCCCACTCTTTCCTAATGCATTTAATTCTTCCATTGCAAATCTCGTCGATTCTTCATGAAATCCGTAACTGATTTATTATGTTAATGAACAAAACTCCATGTTTTGTAAATTTGTGCTTAAATCGAACTCCTTACAAATGTTTTTAAACTGCAAGTGTTTTCAAAATTTTAAATTAATTGTTTTGCAGATTAATCTCTTTCATCTGAAACTTCAGTTTTAAGAGTAAAATTATCAATTTCAAAAGGGGTAATGATAATGAATTTGTACAACAATTACAATATTAACGATGGTGTAACCGGCAGCAACATCGATAATAACAACAGCAATGATAAGGATAGTATTGAATTTACCACAGTTGCTGCGGTGACTATAAATCAGCATCTTATATAAATTGACATCATTTTCTTGCTTGTACTTACATTTTCAATTTCAATTTAAAAAAAAAAAAAAAAAAACAGTTCAACTCTATAGGCTAAATGTCATGGAATGAGTATAATTTTCATTTATCCTATAAAAATTGTACTTTCCAAAAAGCATCTCTTGCATGTGGCACATTTCGTGATATCATCAATATCCAATTCAGAACCAAGTTCTTATATTATGCGTTGCCGTATTGCAACCAAAGTTGATAGTGAATATCATATTTCAGGATCTGTTCCAAACACCTCACAAACGTTTAAAATTTTGTAGTTTCGAAAAAAACTTTAGAAAGCGGTGACGATGACAACTTAGATCTCGCAAATTCTGTCGTTTTGAATTCGATGGTTACATTCCCACCAATATGCAATACTTTTGTCTTAACCAACAACAGCTGCTGATGCCATTAAGAAAGCTTACTGAGAAAATTGATAAAGATTTTCTTTTTTGAAGAACATTGGAATCATTAGGAATTCAAAGCCATTTTCGAACTTCATTCAGACCTAAAATCATGAAAATTTTTGATCATTTTATAAATCTGCGGTTGCCTTTTTTAATTTTGGTCGCAAATGTAACCATAAAATTAATAAATAGTTCATTGATCAAGTTTTATACTGGTTATTCTTTGATTCTACCGTTATTTAAGTTTTTAGTTTTTAATATCAGGTGCTAAATATTTGAAATTTAATATTGGTGCTCATATGTAGTCGTTATGCTTTTTATCTTCTCACATTATTCTTTTTACTGTATGTATTTTAACAGCTTTATGTTTACCAGAACAACATGATCACTTATTATAAGGTACCATTTTCTGTTAACTTATTCATGTCTTGAAGTCTTTTCAGGTATTTTTTCGATTTCTTTTTCTGCTTTTGGTGATCCCAAATATGACATAGTTTCTGACATAGTTTCTTCTATTCATTTCTCTGTCTTTCGACGATCAATTGTTCTATTAAATTTGTTTTGATACTTTTATCAAGTCCTCAGTTAATTCGAGGAACTTCAAAGTTTTGCAACCAAAGCAAAATAATTTATAAAAATTACAACCCGCACTACCTACTATCTGTCACTTTTTTTGTTTGTCTTTTCACTTTCTTACTTAGTAAGCCTTTCTTGTTCATACTGTCCTATTTTCTATACTGTTTGTACGTCACATTTCCTTATCAAAAATTTGAAGTTTTTTTCTGATGGAACAGTAATGAATATGTTTGCTTGTTGTTCTACGACTTAACACATACTATAGTATGTGGGATGAAAAATGTCATGAAAAATCATTTTGGGATTACATTTTGGTATTAGTGCTTCTGAGAATATTGTAGTGAGATGTCTGGATTCTTCCATTCCTCACAATTATTGACCAGACGAACTCCTTCTTGTAGGAGTTGTAGAAAAATAGAGAAGGATAAGTTGAAAGGTCAAGAAATGATGCGATGAAAAAATAATGCTAGATTGCTAAAGAATTAAACATTAACGAAAGGAGATTAAAAAGGAATTTCTGAAATTATCCAAAGATGGGATTTACGATTGATGAAGTGTTTATGACTAGCAGTGTTTTGTTTCATTAAATTTTGTGAACGTTCATTGAACAGTCAATCATCTTCAATAAACATTACAAACTGATTCAAAGTAGAGTCTGCTTCAATAATGGATCAATCTCGAAATAATGTTGTCACGGCTTTCATCAGATGTCACTCATTTTTTGATCTTAGTACTTTGTCAAATTTTTTCATTTGAGTAGATAAGAAAATACTCTAGTGGTAGCCAATGTAGGTGATTAGGATGAACTTTTTTGCGCTCATAAATGAATCTGTATTTGATATCAATATTCAAAAATAAAATTAAGTTTTTTTTTTTTTTAATTTGATATATTACTTTAGAGAGATTATTTCTTACGAAGACATTTTATTACAGAAGTGCCTAACTCCTAGCAAAGAAGAAGGACTAACGCAACTAAAGTCATATCAGCACTTGTTTGGTTTGCGTTCAGTAATTTCAATATGAAATAAAGCAAGCCTATTATCTTTTAGTTACCCTGCAATAAGCAATTTTTTATTTTTACTGCACATTTTTTATTGCACATTTTAACATTTGCAATTGTTTAAAAAGCTTACAAGAATATATTGCGTATAATTGACCAGTAAAATTCCTGTTTTGCAATAAATATCTAAGAATTAGCAATATGTTGTCAAATCTTTTTCACTGGGAACGAAATTCTCCGAAATTAGAACAATTTGGCTGACGGTTTGCATTGCTGAAATGATTCATCTTAAGAAAACTGAATTGAATTGACAATAATCAATAATTCATACATTTGATTAAACTACAAGAGATTTAATAAATCCTATCATACTTGATGTAAATCAGTGGGACAGTGAACTTCTGCAATTTTTTTTCAAATTACCTTTTTCGTCAAATTTGTATTTTCAAACAAAAAGTTTATCTTTAGGACAAAATAAAATTATGAGGAATGGAACAATGATATGATGAATTCAAAGAGTAATAAATACAAATGCAAAGGCAAAATAAGTAAATAAAATAAATAAATTCCATGAGCATATCAAAATTAGTTGATCGAAAATGGAGAGAGAAAGAACGAAAGAATCATCGAGATAATCAGTTGAACATAACAAACATAAGGAAAGCACTAATCACTTTTAAAGGAAGGAAAGAAATGAGATTGAAAGCTGAAGAGTTACATAAATTTCAAATTTTCATGACAAGGCAAAATCAGAAGTGGTTAGAAGTGAAGTTTAGAAAAAAAGCGAATTCTCCTTAGTGACATGCCTTTTTTCTCGTCTTCTTCGGCATTCTTTTAAAAGTATATCACCTTTTGCAACAAATACACATTGCTTAAATATTTAACATGTCTAAATATTTAAACAATTGTTTACAATCTATAACAATCTATAAAATCTATATTTTATAAATCATGAATATTCGGATTTGCTACATGGTAATCCCGATAGCAGTTCTTGATACGATCAAAAACTTGTAAACAATCGATGTATTGCAATGTATTGTGTGGATTACCCAGGTGTGTCGTACAAAATACCATGCAATGACCATTTCTGTATTCTTTGATACCATTTCTTATGCAACAAGCCGAATGATCAGCCTTCAATATTTTATAGATAATAAAGAGGTTAAATTTGTACAAAACTACAACCTACCTAAAGTTCGTTCGACCCCGGTTCGATTTTTTATTACAAATCAAAGATGAATAGTATGCTAACAAGTTTATATCAACTTGTTATATTTTATCTATTTATTGCAACGAGTGGATCAGAAGTATCCTAAATACAATTTTGTTTTCAAATTGGAAAAAATACGATATAGTAAAACGACCAATTTATGCTTCTGATTTCATTATTTAAAAACCTCTACTTGAATAAACCAACACACCCTCGAAGTGGCGCAATTAAATGCTTTTTCGAGCTCATAACCGGGACATTGATTTGATATCACCGCTGTCACAAGCTAAAATAAACTTAAATGTGACAATTACTGAATCACCGATAACTATTTGTCGGAAGTAACTCATTTACAATACTGTAATTTTAAGACTGCAATGTGTAATTTTTGTGGAAGTTTAAAAAGCGGTAAAGGTAATGTATAAAGCAAGTTGAAAGTGTAATTGTATTGTGCCGACCAAATTAATGAAAAAAGTTATGTTGGCTAGAAAACAAATGTTTATTCTTTAACATTTATTTTTTGGTAAGATTCGATAGTTTTATCATTTCTTTAACTACGAAAATTTTTTAAACCTTTGAATTTTTATATTTTATAATTCATTTTGTTTTCTAATCAACATTTAAATCTACGAGAAATCTAATCATCTAAAATTTGAAATAGAGAAACACAAACAATTACAAATAAACGAAAACACTTACCGATCGATCAGTAAATGTGTCATAATTGCATAAAAGTTGGCAAGATGGTGAAAGATTTTGCTTTTTGCAACAAAGAGTAAGTTTTTGGTTTGGTGACAAGGGAGATTTCGTTGGTACCAATGTCAATCCTTGTTCGAGATCAAGGCCTTCAATAATTTTATCCAACTTTCAACTTGTAAAGCTATTTTTTCGAAAGGAATGACGGAATAAGGACCCCAATTATTCTTATATATTTATTTTTATTAAACAAGAAGGTTGAAAAATGAAAAAGTAATGTTACTTCGAGCCGATTGTGTCGTTGTTGAAATGAATAACTGTGGCTGTGGTGCAAAAAGATTTGGAAAGATCGATTTCCAGAACTGTAATTTTTCATTTAAACGTAAAAGTCGGGGTAAAAAAAGGAGGCGAGGGTCTTAATCCGAAATATATTGATGACACTTTTGGATATGCTTGATGATGAAGTTGGTTTAAATCAGAAATTCTTTAAGAAAATTCAGTGTTTTGAATTTTTACATTACAGAAGAAAAAAATACAAGAAAAACTGATCTTCAAAACAAAAAAAAAGAAGAAAAAAAGGAAAGACCGGATTATTAAGTAGTCCGAATGGATCCCAAGGATTGTAGTAAAGTGGTTGTCGCACAGTATCATATTCTTGTTTTCGAGATGAAGAAATGGAAGCAGGAATATTAGGAGTATAAAAATGCTTCTTATAATGATAAATGTTCTGCCGTCTTTGTTGCTGATAAGGAGATAGCTGCCTGCAATATATAAGCTTAATAATATAATTTACAGTGATATCATAATAATTTAAATATGATTTAAAAAGAAAGCTATGATTCTATGAAAATCTATGAAATTTAGTAACATACGGTGAATTTAAGCTGTTGATAACTGGAGCCAAAGCAATTTCGTTTGAATTATCCTAAAAATTGCAAACCAAAATAAAATTCTGCACTAAACCCTTTCTAAGAGAAATAGAAGGCTCGTTTTATGTATGAATCTAGCAAGAGTATCTAATTAGTCGTACAGTGAACAGTAATTATCAGACATATTAAATATACGTAAGTTAAGAAAAACGAGACACCAACACTTATTCTGAATTCTTTCGTCCTATGTTCAACTCGCATTTTTGGTAACTGCACTACACCTTTCCAAGGTATATTGGTCTCATTAATTTTTCCAGCACCGTTATCTACAAAAAAAAAAAAAAAAAAAAAAAAAAATGAAGCAAAAAAATCACCGTTATCTACAAAAATAAAGCAAAAAATTATGATAAAGTTGTTGAAATTACGACAATATGCTAAAATTACGATGATTAGATAGTCGATAAAGTGCATTAAACGATATGTGTTAATGAGTTATTAATTATTATTAGTTTAATTGAGAAAGCAAAACGGTACCATAAAAAGGAACGATGGCAGTTGCTGGTGAAATATATATATGAGGTGCATACGCCGCTCGCACTGATTGATTGTAGTATTTACTACAAGGGGAATTAGATATATTTCATACTTAAATTACTAATTTCAAATCAAACTAATTAGTTTCTTTCATTAGGAATCAAAAAAAATGGATAGTAAACAAGTTGAACTTTTTTGGTTATATTAATATTTAGCACTCATTGTAATACCAGCGTGGAATACGCTGCGTTTAAAATTTAAATTGCTCTCACACTATGGTAATTAGTTTATCACACGATTCGAAATACCAACAATTACTCTTTCTTTCAATGTGAAATTCGAAATAAAACCAACCGGTCTTGAAGGATCTTTGTACTTTGAAGACGAGAATTAAAGGTTCGCAGGAGGCTTCCGGATGATAATCCATAGGATTTCTTCACGAACGATGATGACTTCGCTCTTGGTGCTACTTAATTTTTATCAAAGAACAGAATGAGAAATATCGTTGAGATCAGCTTTATAATTCAATGAAATTTCTTTTTAGCGGAAGTCCGCGATGACAGAGAGATTTGTAAGCAGTGACAACTCAAAGGATCTAACAAGATGCCGGCCAGGACGAGACTCGAACTCACGTAGGGAAACTCAGTAGATTAGCAGTCCATCGCCTTAGCCACTCGGCCAGCTGACCAACAGACTTACCAAACTCATTTGTTATCAATTGCCAGTTTCTTTTATCATCCGCATTATTTTTCGAAGAATAAGGTAGTTTTTTTATCCCATTTCGAACTCTTAGAGTAATATGAGTGTTGTCCATCTGTAAATGATTGTTATCAGACTGTCACATATCCAGCGCAAGGGGTCGAGTGATTAGCATTAGGTAATAAATAAAGAAGTCAAACTGAACTTTCTATACTAATATATTACTCTTTGTATCTAACTTAAAGTTAAAGTAACAAATCAACTTTTCGTAGTTTCAAAGATTAAATATTTTACTGATTTCTTGCTAGTTAGTATTCTACTAGTCTAGACTTTCTAAACTTTCTAAGCAAGCAACTTATTTATATTCTTTCTGTTTGGGAATACTTCAATTTTTCTCAAAATTGTCATAAGTTGCCCTGGCTAAATTTTTCTTCGGCAACTACTGTACGACACTTACCGCCAATCCAATGCACCGTAAAACACAATAACTGGTCCATAAGAATAACGTTATAAGTGGTTGCATAATGTCGGATTAGTCGTGATACTAGTAGATGAAATGAAGTACCGTCTTAAACTGTTGAGAAGGACGAAATGATATTAGCTTACTGCATTCACCATCTGCAAACCACTAAATTTAATGATTAAAAAAAGCATAAGCAACGATTTACTTTACTGCAAATGAGACTTTAACAATGAAATTAGGATTTTATCTCTAGCTAGAACTGAATATTTCACTAATCTAAATTCATTCCATCCCATTTTATTTTTTCTTATATTTACACAAAGTAAATAAAACAATATCGCTGGTGACGAGGTGATGTTGTAGAAGACAAATATTACTTCGGTTAATGATAATATAAAGATTTTTAAAATATAAAGAAAGAATTTTCGCAATTTTTTGAAAATAATATCGCTTCACAACACGTTCTGTTACACTGGTGAATTTCAGCAGCAGAACTGTTTGAGATAATCTAAAAGATTTAGGGTGTTGAGGTGCTGTCATTAGGATTTCGGACTTGCGGAAAGAGGAAGGAAGGAATTTGTGTGATATCTGTGATGAATAATGCGTTGTTGTTACAGTGAAGATCATAAAATATTTTGTACGCTATCGACACATCCTCAAGTAAATGATATTAAAAAATAGAAAAAAACTTTAATGAGCGGGGGCAATTGATATAGGAATGCCGAAGGGACTATATCTATTCTCTTCCAGATTCTGTGACCCTCCCTCTCTCTCAAATCTGTGCTGTTTCAATCTCCCTCTCCTGTCTCCTGTCATCTTTGCCATTAATCCTGTTCACTAAAACAGGTTATTTTAATAGTTAATTAGCAGAAATTCTTTTTTCTCTACTCTACAATGTATTAAATCCCACAACTCATTCGTTTTTTATAATTCTTGTTCCTAAAGAAAGGTATCTACCGTTCATCTTCCATTCATGGTGGACAAACTGATTTCATGGAAAACTTTTTCTTTCATGAAAAGCTTAAATTGATGTAGAACCTGTTTATGAGATAAAATGCAATCCATAAAAGAATATACTTGTTTGTAAAACTCGTCTCGGTAATGCTTAGAAAATAAACGATTATTGTTCATTTATAATCCTTAATTAAAATATATGGTTAAAGTTGAAAACAAAAATGAATAAAACCATAGGAATCAAAGACTTATTAACTTGCTTTCTTGGGTATATTTAATTTTTGGGACAGACCTGCGATTAGAAAACCACTCTGCAAATATTTCGGAAATATGACTATACGTTATTACAAATCATATTGATAGCCGAAAAGGTGACAAAAGATTCTTTACTTAATTAAGCTCATACCCAATTCTTGCTTATGAGTAATAACTTAAATCTTCTTGCAGTAAATTATCGTTTCCTCCATGTTTCGGTTTTCATTTCATTATTTGAGCTATCTTCGATTTGTTTTCCTTTTCGCTTCCAAAATTATCATGTTTTTGTTAGTTTTGCACTTAAGTTAAGATTTTGTTGATATCATAGCTACACCAACCACTTCTACCTTTATTTTAATTTCTTGAAATAACATATTGCATCTCATGTGATACTCTTTCAAAGTTCAAAGTGTTAATGGTCTCTTAATTTTATCTATATTTGATTAGTATCAATGTTTTAACGATAATATTTGTTAAGGCTTAGCACACTAAACAGAATGTTATCTTCAAAATTGGACAGAAGAATAAGTGTAGAGATGATTACACTCCCCTTTTCATCTTGACATTTTACATGATCCAATTCTTCCACAAAACTTTTGACTTCATTTTATATCCCACAAACTCTTTCAAATTTTAAACGGAAAAAGAAAATATCCTATACACACTTTACGACGATAAGATTAATGCAATAATTAAGATATTGAAATGAAATATTATTGATTAGAAAATTTATACAGTCGGAAATAATGTTAGCTATGTTTATGCTTCTCAAATGTCTTCGAAAATTTTACGGAAAACATTCTCACAAATTTCAGAAAAGTAACAGAATTACTTTTATTCGTCAGTGTTTTCATTAAACAATGCAAAATACTCCAATTAAAACAAATCAACTAAAATATTTAGAATAGAAGAACAAAGGACATTGAAGCTCTACTTCAATGATGACTTTGAATAATATCATCTATAAAAATCGACAAGATCATCAGAAGTATTTATAGATAAAATGTTCCAAGAATTTGACATGAATTGAAAATTAATACGACTTAGTTACGCTGGTACAGTGTCTTGCACGAAAAGTGCTAGAATATTCGAAGGCCTGGAATAATAAAGTAGGATAAAATATTGAGATTTTGAGAGAAATATTCAAGCTGATCTGCTGCTTTCGACATTTGTACAAAGAAACGAGAGTGTATTATGATTTGATTAACAACAGTCAAGGAAGTCAATCATAAATTTCTGTATCAGTAAGGAAACGTTACTGGAATTTTTAGTAATTAGTAGGAGGTAACAAATATTTGAAAGCTGAAATTGACACAGAACAAAAAAGAAATAAGAACAATAATATATTGTTATCGGTGATACATAAAAAATGCTTCTCAGTGTTATTGCTTGATTGGAAAATCACAAGAAGAGAGCGAATAAAGGTGACAAAAAAGAAAAAATGGACAAATGTGATTTTTTATTCACTCTGTTTAATCATTTTTTGCAGGAGACAAACTTTTTAAGTAAAATTTTATTTTACTTGCAGAAGAAGATAAAATAATAAAGTTTTGCACAAAATTTTCAGTGAATAGTGCTTTAATATCTCCACAATATATAGTAGAGTTTTAAATTTGAATGATTTCAAGTGCATAATGCTTTTAGAAAAGTTTTGTTGCAACAATGTTTGTATAAAATGAACAATAAAGATTTAAGAATCTAGGCGCTATTGCAACAGTTCTGCACTTTATTTTGCCAATAGACTGTGATTAAGTTTTGATGCGACAACAGTTTATATCTCATAGTCACAGAATCAGCAATTAGAAATAAAAAACATCCCCAAAAAGATAATGAAAGAAGACCATTCTCTTAAATACGGATTACTTGAAAAGAGATATTGGCAAATTACAAATTTAAGCGGGGTCAGGGATCATTGCAAGATGAGCACAGAGAAATATATTTGCAGATATCAATATTAGTGTTGAATGAGAGTGCCGTTTTTAGGTAGAAATAGGATTTGAAAATTACGACGTTATGTTATCCAGAGACTAATCAATCTCCATTGTTGTTTCATTCCAAAATTATTTATGCATTTCTCGAAATTTCAAAAGGAATTTGAAGCTTATTGTTATTATCGAATTTTAGGTTGAGCAGTAATATGGGGTCTTTTAACATATCGCAATCGTCTGCAATATGTCGAATTTGTCGTAGTGGAGAACAATCGATTGCATATGATGACAAATCAGCCGCTCATGAACCGCTAATATCGCCTTGCTTCTGCAGGTAAATAAATTCTCGATGCTATTATTTTCTTCTGCAGTTTCCTATCCATCATTATTGATATTTAATTCCTATATATCGGTACTTTTCTATATTTTACAAATGCAACAAATTTATATTTCCATCAGTCCTTCCGTTTACTCGTTTAACAAGCATCAAATAATTCTAAATACTTTAAAATAGAAGTAAAAAAAAAGAATTAATTAGTTAGATTAAGCATCATAGTGAGCTGTGATGCGATATCGATAATTTAATTTTCCTGATTATAGTCACTTGATTAGATCTTTTAATTCTGTCGAAGTTTAGCAGTGATCTTTAGAATATTCTAATAAATCCTTTTTTCCAAACTAAAAATCACATTAATAAATTACCATATACCATATAGAGGAACGATAGGCTTGTGTCATCAGAGTTGCTTGGAACGCTGGCTTGCGTCATCTAATAGAAGTGTATGCGAAATTTGTCATTTTACTTATCAGACTGTAAGGTATTTGATCATCTAATTTTTGCTTTCTCCACTTTTGCTGTAATTTGCATTTCGAGCAACAGCAAAATTCAAATTAAACCTCAAATTAATCTTAATTTTTTGATTTTTCAGTCTTATTTACTTCACTGCTTCGATATTAACAACTTTTTGGTAAAGTGTCTTAAGAAAGAATTATAAGGGATGAAATTCCAAATTCTCCACACAATTTTAAATCAGTGCGATTTGTTTTCTACATAGCATACAATTACATTCATCTCTTCAAGAAATAGAAGCAGCCTGAAATAATTTCAGAAAATGAATGTAATATTAATAGACAAGTTTGTTGATAGATAAATTGTCTCTGCGTCAATATGACATTTTGAAAAATTTCGCTTCCTATTATCATGCGTACATTATTTCTAGTATTGTAACTGTTTTTAGCTTCAAAATCTCATTAATATAAATTTCCGAAGTCAGGGAAAGATCAATTAATTTTATTGTAGAATTTCAGCTTATTTCAATTTAAATATTTAAAATCAGCAAAATTTCTGATTGTTACAGACGATATCGCACATTTTGTGAATTTATGGGAAGCACAGATTCTTATTTACAGCGTCGTAATTTGATTATCGATATTATTTGCTTTGTCTTTTTTACGTCGATCGTTATCTGTTGTATCATACTTTGCTTATCGTTAGCGGCACAAACAAAAGACTTTGGATTGTGGAATAATTCGAAAGGGTTTCAAACGATTAGTTTGTTTTTTATGAGTCGTTTAATTTTTTAGACAGATAGATGAAGAAAAATGGTCAAACAGACACAGATAGACATCCGACTGACATTACTTACACATTCACTATTACTTATATATTACTCAACATTACTCGTAGGCTTGTTGATCCTATCAGTTTCATTATCTGTAGTATACTTTATATGGCTAATTACCATTATTATATTTCATATCAAGACTTATCTCGATTGGCGTCTATTAAATGAAGTAAGTTCATGATTTTCTGGTATTACTACTATCACTACTTATGAGATTCGATTTACGATTTATTGATTTGAACGATTCAAATGATTTATGTCATTATTTATCAAAATTTCAAGTTTATTTAGAGTTAAA